GGAATCGGAAGCTGAGGTGGGATGGAGTTCGGCATGTTCGTTCCTATGACGAAGGAGCCAAGAGAGTGAGGAACAACATTGAAGAGATCAAGTCAAGTTACCCGAGGCTCGAACATGGAGGACGAACACATGCAGGTAGTTCAGCTCATGTGGTGGTTTTGGTAGGTTCTTGAGCTGATCAATAATTGGGTCTGAGCTACGTCGGGCTCATGGGCTTGGCACTTTTGGCTTCAAGACTGCAGTGACTGCAGCCTTTGAGCGCTGGAGTGGAGTTCTGTGAAGCATCCCAGAGTTTATCAAACAAATTCCCTGGTTTCGTGGAGACAGCACCCCCACATCATTCGCACCTTCCGGTCTGCCAGTACAGCTTTGGATCACGTCATCGAATCAGTTCCGTGGTATCGGAAATTCAACTCCCTTCCCCATATCTGCAGGTTTGGAGCTTAGCTCAGCTTCAATGCCGGTGAACTTCGTCTACATTACGCCATGCCAAGTACAGTAAAGTACCGTACACATTGCACTGTCACTCACACTTAGCAGCTTGCTGGCACTTCTGATAGTTTCATGAGTGGGATGATGGACTGAAGTGCATTTGTGAGAAAAGGGAAAGGGAGTGGTTCGCCAATTCTTTTTTTTTAAAATTCGTCAAGGATTATGGACACTTAATTCAACAGACTCCAAGTGCATCGACATTAGCTTGAACCCTACTCCTCCAACCGATTGCACCCAGGCCTTGTAGCCGTTTCGTATACCCTCAGCAGAGCAGCTGTCCTTCTGCAAAAACTGGTATAGCTGGTGTCGAACATGCATCGACAACACAGCTAAATAGAATGAACAGCAGGCAACAACCATAGTGCCCGCTTCGCTGACATGTTGCAGTCCACAACTTCTTTTCACGCTGCTAGAAGATGCTAAAGTCCTCACACAGCTCTTCATCGTCTGACCTGGGTATGTGGCTGCAACCGCATTTGCAAGAATCTTCTATAGAGGGGCAATGGTCAACATGCTTGCGAGTTACCATCTAAGAGCAAATTTACAAGGCAGCCATTCCCGTCAACGCAAAAAAGAACTGAAACCAAAGCCCACTCTGCGAGATCCTCGTGTACCAGGTGCCACTGTGAACAGCTGTCAGTATTTTTCATTGGCCTCTGCAGAGCCTCTGCACTCTTGCCGTCTCTGCACCGAGAAACAATCTAGGCTGCAGAAATCCCACAAGCTGGACATCGCCGCCTTGCCGCTGCACACGCCGTGCATGCGGCACAGAGCCTCAAGATGACACAAGCCATTGACTCAGAAGAACTAGCACGTTTTTAGAACAATACTGATTGCCCAGGTTTGAGGGCTGCAAAGTGCACAAAGCACCATAGCTATGTTAGCAGCACGTTGAAACGATGATAGAAATTAAGAAAAATGTGGAAAACGACTTGAGAAGTGAGTAAGCACTACAGTGTTACAAAGGATAAGAACCTTGTGTTTTGTAAACAGCTATGTTTCATGCAAATGATGTGCACTTTTATTGGTTGATTGGTTTCGCAAGGGAGACAGGGTAACATAGCACTGTGAAATGACACTAGGACTGTTGACTGTTGACCTTACAAAGACCTAACAAAGGACAGCACCATCACATATAGAGGACAAGACACTGGAGTGGGCCTTTTGAAGGTTAATGTCTTCAATGAAAGTGCTTCTCAAGGAAGGTTTTTGGAAAGGAATCACCATCGGAATAAAGCACAATACGACTCATGATTACATGTGTCGGCCTTGTTTCAACACATACCTCCTGCCTTAGAGGGATGGCATTAATTTTTGAATCCGAGGTACCTCACCTTTTGATCCCTACCCTGCTCGAGGTCTGAGTTCAAAAATTCAAGCCAAATTAATCAGCAGGGTTTGAGTTTTAACAAGAAGCAATCAACAATCAGTCAGAAATTAAGTTAAACATTCAGGAGGGCCTTGACCTAACTCATCTGCTGAATTTAAGTCTGAACGTGGTGTCTGTTTCCATTTCTTTCTTGTGGGATTCTATCCATGTAGCTTCTCACCTCCCCCTTATGAATTGACACTCAAAGGACGCTGTTCTATTCGTTCACCAGCACAAAACCACGCGC